GTTCTAGTCAACACGTTGGTTTCCACGTGGGGTTTGACGGCTATTTCCATGATTTATCCAATATATTAGCCGCGTAACTGGAAGAGATGTTACATCTGTACTTTAGCGTCAGTTGTCCTGATCCTATTTTGTGGGTTGGAAGGACAGTTGCACATTTTCAGTCCACAGGCAACTCACTCTCTCTAAAGGACATCCTGAATAATGTAGTGCTTATGGTAGGAATATGTAATGCAATTTGTCTCAGGATTTCATGGTACAACTCATTCGGTCCTGTTGATCTTTTCGAGGTCAGAATAACTTATTATCTTCGGTGCACCTTCTTGACATGGGTCCTCAGTGAATAGCCGATTCAGTGACATTAATTCTGTCCCTTGTCACCTGTTAATAGGAGACTCTTAGGTGAAGAACATCCCAGAGAAGTCAATCGTGGATTCTGCTCCGTCTTGGTTGTTGTCAATCGTTTGTGATTGACACACTTCTATAATTAAAGAGGGAACTAATTAATGCGTTTTTTTCCGCAAACTTATATACGAAAACAGTTGTTTCGGCTACTTAATTACACGTTGTTTTCACTGAATTCCGTAATTCCGTTGAGGTGTGTTCATGGATTCATTTATTGTCGACTTTTGACACTCATTTCGCTCGGTGTTCGGAGACTGGTGGCAACTTTCCGGCGTATTTGCTTTGGAGTTAGTGAGCGTTGAGTCATTTAATTTGTCCAGAGATGAGATGGTTTCGTTCACTCGGGACCGTACAGGGTATAAAATGCTATGTTACATGGTTACACAAGTGCTGTAAGTGACTCTATGCATCGTCCTCTGATGAATCTCAATCAATTTTTCAGTCCTTACTCATGTTCACAGTTGATATCAGCCACTTCTGTTTTGCATGTGTTAGAAAGGGGCTGTGTTTCTGCTTAAAAGAGCATAGCGACAATGGACTTGAACAAGAGGACCACATGATCACTTCTCCCTAGATGTGGAAGACATTGTGTTAGGTTGAAATCAATCCAGTAGGCGAGGAATAATTCCGTGGCATTGCAATTCTGTTGGTTATATATAGTAGGGTGTCCATGGAACTGGATTACAGCTTGATTGGTTGCGGTTTCTAAACAATTTTCACAAAATAATGTTTCTAGTGATCCGCCTATAGCTATCCAAAGGCAATTGACGCTTCAAGCCCACACAAAGGAGGGAGGTCGAATGTGAGGTCTGAAACACATCCCGTAGAAAACCCATTGAACCTAAACTGAACACAAAAGATTAGATTCGGGAGAGGTGCTACTGTATTCTGGTCATGAAGAAGAAAACCCTCCGCACACACGGAAAGTTACTCTGATGCTATCCAAGGGAGTGCATGATGCACCTATAGAATGGGTATGTCGTGGAACCAGGGTCATCAAAGCACCTTTCAAAACAAAGGAGGGAATCACAATGAATGTTATCCAAAGTTACTCACCCAAAAATGATAGCAACGATGACGACTGGGAGAAGGGGGCAAGATTGGTGACAGATTTTTACATTTACGTGCATTCAACAACATGGTTATAGGCGGTATAACATTCCCACACAAACGCATAGACGAGTCTCAACGGATCACACTACACAAAACTAGATAGAGCATTATAGCTGACAAACGGAAATGCGTGGAAGACCTAGCAACGAAGGCGGATAAAGATGCAAGAGAAGGAAATATGAAACAACTATATGACACAACGAAGGAACTAGTAGGGAAATATAGTAAGCCAGACAGATTAGTCAAGGACAAAAGAGGCGAGCGAATCACTGAGATCCCAAAACAGTGGAACAGATGGGTTGAACGCCTTGAAGAACTCTTAAATGCACCAGCCCCACTTGACCCACCGGGCATGGAAGCAGCACCTGTAGATCTCCCCACAGATGTCACTGAACCACGATCGAGGAGATCAAGATGGTCGTCAGACAAATCAAGAGCGGAAAAGTAGCAGGATCTGAGAACATATCAGGTAAGGCTCTGAAGTCACACGTAGAAGCAACTTCAAACATGCTTCACGTTCTATTCGGGAAGATTTGGGGAGAGGAACAAGTGCTAACAAACTAGAAAGAAGGAAACCTCATCAACATACCATAGAAACAAGATCTGAACAAGTGTGAGAACCATAGAGGTATCACACTACTGTCAGTACCAGGAAAAGTTTTCAACAGTGTTATTAAACCGCACGGTAGATTCAGTAGATGTCCAACTTTGAGATCAACAGGCCGGATTCCGTAGGAGTCGGTCGTGCAAAGACCAACACTACGGATCATCGTTGAACGGTCAACTGGATGGAACTCGTCACTATTCACCAACTTCCTTGAACATGAGAAAGCACTTGACAGTGCGAACATAAGAACCTTATGGAATCTTCTTCGACACTATAGCGAGCCTGAGGAGATCACCAATATCATCCGGAATTCATACGACGGACTGCACTGCAAAATCGTGCGTGGAGGAAAGCTTACCGATGCACTCCAAATGAGGGCCGGAGTCAGACAAGGTTAACCACCCATCACCCCTCCCCATTCATTCTGGTGGTCGACTGGATTATGAAGACCTACACATCTGAAGGAAAGCACGAAATTCAAAGGACCGCTTGCATGCAACTAGACGACTTGTTCTCCACTGATCACATAGCTCTTCTATCCCATACATACCAACAAACGCAGAGCAAGACAAACAGTGTAGCAGCAGTCTCCGCATCAGTGGCCTCAATATATACAATGGAAAAGGCAAGATCCTCAAATACAACACAGAGCATCAGACCAATCACACTTGATGAGGAAACTCTGGATGAGGTGGAAACATTCATATAAGTAGATAGAATCATCGATGGACGTGGAGAATGTGATACAGACGTAGAGGCAATGATTAGCAAATCAAGGGCAGCATTCCTACAGTTGAAGGACATATGGAACTCAAAGCAGCTGTCTATCAACATCAAATTGGGCATCTTCAATACGAACGTCAGAACACTTCTACTGTACGGAGCAGGCATAAGTAAGCACCTCTAGAGTTTTCCAGCTCAAAGAAGATTTGCCGGAGATGTTTCAGAGTATTTCAACAATAAGGACTATCACCAAAGATTTAAAAAATCTCAAGTTAGAACCGCTCCGAATCAGTCGCAATAATTTAAACCTTGTCTTTATCGATCGGTTTATAAATGGTATTTCCTACTGTTCGGCATCCATTCCTTCCCACTCTGTCATGTCATCCCACAACCAGCGCAATAATATGAGCATTCCGTCGATTCCGAGAATTCACATCAGAATTTCCTCGTTATTTAACGATGTGGAGCAGATTTTCAGTGGGCCTACTTTGTAGTGTAACCCAATTCAAAAGTCTCACTGATGACTCTCTCTGAAAGTGGTTTGCGTCACCTATTAAATATCAGTTTGATTACGATCATTTATGCAAACAAGATCCGGCATCTACTTAATTGAATGTAAAACGAAGTAGGACTTTCGACATTTTATTTATTTGCTTAATTTTTTTCATGTGAATATCCAAAGCCCGTTTACGTCCATGTTTACTACCATTATTATTATGACTGATCCCCTGACACATTTGATAGTGTTTCTCTTCTCTCTTTTCATCCCGAAAAACATTTAGTCTAACCCATCCAGAGTTTATAACTAGAAAAACAAAATCTTGCTTAACAATTACTTAAATGAATTGACTTTTCAGTGTCATTTTATCTTCACCATGTATATATGACACACGCAGATTGATATTTGACTATCATTCTTCGCAATCAAATAAGACCTTTATTGCATCATTCGAAACTATTACTGCATAAACTTTTATCCCACCATCAAATGTTGCCACGTCAACGATTTATCGTTTAATTAATTTCATAATACATATACTGTTGTTTATTTTTGTTATTTTTCACAATCATACTTATTTACACACTTCACTTTTATTTCCTTCCTTTTTCTGCAATCAATTTAATATTCTTCCAAATACTACAGAACCTGTCTAAATATGACGAATAGTATGTAAACATGATTGAGACATGTGTAAGATTACATTTCTGAAGAAGCCTGAAACGGTGTCTTCACAACACTTATGTACCAATAAGCTGATTGTGAATAATAATAATAACACTGACGCATGCAATAGTTGGCGCTATCAAGCGCTAGTTAGAACAAAACTTGGACTGGGATATACGTCGTTTGACATTCACCGTAAAAGTATATTTTAATGACCATCTTTAACAGATTGCCAGCTAATAAGGGAATAGCGCTTAGTTACAAAAAAGGTCAATAACGAAAGCGAACTTACAGTTGATTTACGGTTTCGAGATAATCAATGAACTCTCACGTGTTAAATTATTGGTTGTAGTAAGAAAAGTGGTTAAATTTAAATAGTGTGAGATGGGCTAGCGTTGTGATCTGGGGCTACACACTTATAAGGTTTTCATCACCAGCTGACATAAACTACAATACACGAAAGGACTAACGTGATCATATATGGTAAGGTGCCCAGGCGTAACAATTAATTAAATTAAGCGAGCTGGTCAATGACCTGCTTGCGAAAGCAAGGCTAAGGCGTACACAGGATAGTATTAGAGAACAAACCTACACAACTAAACCATAGGATTGCTGAACTGTAGCCGTGAAGTGGTAATGGAACACTATAACAACAAGCTTGAAGTTGAGCTACTTTATTGATGACAGAAATGAAGCGTAACACTGGCAGGATCAAAGATGAAGTGGGTTAATATTCGCATCATAACGGCATTGAACGCCCGAAGAGAAGTATTCTAACAAACACTCCAACAGCGAGAATTCAAAACTAATGACGGTGGGATTCATAAAATGGCATTAATTTAAACACTAAATGTCGGGATGTCAGATGAAAATTGCACGTAACTGACTCAATGTTGAAATTGCTGAAGAATTCACAACTTTATCTAAGGCAGAAATATTTGTTCACAGTAATAAATTGTAATACGCTGTTGTGTTAAAGAAACAAGTTATCAGAAAGCTAAAGATTTTATTGTTAAAATAAACGCTCATACCAACTTCACTCAGTGTAAATATGATGATAATGATCACAATTATCAACAAGTCATTTGGCAAATAGGGTCTGGAACAGATTTGGAAGTACGCAATCTGCGCATATACAGTAGGTAAAATTTGTTGTACACGATTTTTGAAATTACAAAAGCATTTCACGAAGTAGTTTTATGCACATGTGATACAATAATCATATGTAATATTACTGAACCAAAGTATTTAAATAAGTTTTCATGCAAGAAATATTCACATGAAAAAAAAGGATTTCAAACTTATTCTACAACAGTGTACATTTACTATTGGACAATGGAAAATACAAATGAGTCAGTATTCACAAACTTCTGAATACATACACAAAATTTTAGCGAATAAAATGGATAGGCAAAGATTTCAGTAGGTTCTTGAAGAATTAAACAACGATATCAGTTGCCTTATTTGTTACTGTAACTTGCTTACACGATTGAGGAATCCAACTAGTCGAATCCTTTAGATCACCATTAACCATAGGTTCAGTAGTTAGTCTAGAAAATTCATTTGATAGTTTACTTCCATGATCCGTGTTGAGTTCCGATAATTGGTCCTTGTCATTCGGCGTAAGGAACACACCAGATATAGCTGATGAATTAGCTGCTTCAATCATATTCTGACGTAATATATCTATTTGTGAGGTTGTTAGAAATGCATTTGCCATTGGAAAATATTCGTTGCAAGCACAACGATACTTTTCTATGACAGATGGGTCACAACGACCCAGTAACGTCCACTGACCTCTACGCAAAATATCTAGACACGTGCGGCATTCCTAAAAAAAGCAGGATGCGTATATCATTACTTTTACTACGAAGAAAATATCATTAAAAACGGTTGAAAGGTATAATGTTACTTACATGAAAAATAAGATATGGACTAAATACAAAAAGAAAAACCATCTAAAAGAGTTTACATAAACACAATTAAAGTAATATTAGTACTTATGTGGTGCAGCGTGAGTAGTCTGCCTCTTACATCCAACAGTTAGGTTTCAACTGCTCATCCATATGTCGTTTGTTTGTTGGAGTAGAACTAAAAGTATCATATTTGAACCCAAGGGCGAAGTTGTACTGCTGATTATAGAGGGGTGTGATAGTAGTAGAATTTTTCCTTCTGACAGCCAGCATCTGTAGCTATACTGCCTTCTGATAAAGGATGGTGTTTTAAAAATGGGAGAACACAAAAATGTCACACCTTACCCTATGCATTACCGTCTTCAACGGTAAGGCCTTTTTGAATTGCGTAGCTGACACATCAAAAACTCCACATAAAAAAGCTGTAGGTGACCGGCCTCGAGTAGTTATCTCTTGGCCTCTAAAGTCACACTCCCAGGTCACCAGGACCACTGCTAACTTAGTTTCCTTTCAGGTCCCTTAAGAAATCATCCATGTACACTCTTAAATACCTAGCACTATAATAAACGGCTTAGTATTGTTTGTTTGAATCTGCCGATTGATTGATCAATTGCAGTCTTAATCAATGGAAAGATTCAAATAAACAATACCAAGTGAATGTAAACTTTCCCACATTACAAAAGCAAGTGGTTATCAGGACTCAGTAGCTAAGTGGATAACGCGATGGCGTTTGAAGTGAACTGTAAAGGACTCGCGTCCTGGAGTGAACATCAACTCTGGGATATAGGTACATCAGCTGACGAGTCTCAAGTAGGACGAAACGTGCCTCATGGATTCCACTGCTAGCCAAACGCTGTTTGAAATAGATAGGAACCACAAAATTGATGCAAAAGATAGTGCGATTTCAATAGAAGTGATCAAGATATTTATTCGATAAAAAGACAAAACAGATCCACATGGATGAAACGACACCATTCAAAACATAGTGTCTCGCCGGTAGTAAAAAGGATTAAATCAAAGTGCGAAACCCAACACTTACTTGCCATGTAACACCTTTAAAGTTATCATTTGGTAATGGAATCTTACTAAGATAATTATCTCTATGTTGTGGGTCAATCAGACATTGACATAACGTATCTGGAAAAATAATAAAAATAGCAAAAACAGAAGATAAAAGAGAGACAATAAAGAAATAATAATGATTACCAGAAAAATTGAAATAGAAACATGTGAAATTAAAAAGAAATCCAAGTGATATAGTCCTAATAAGATATATTAAAATAATCAAGGGAGAACTTAATAACATACATTACAATGTATTGTTGTCAACAGAATACCTGTCTTTTTACCATTTTAGTCACTGGATGAACATATCTTTTAAAACATAAACGAGCTCAACAGACCAACGATTTATGCGAAATGAGTGTGTTTTTCATAATTCTGAAGACTGACTTTACTTCGTAAATATGTAATATTCTTTAATCGCTAACGGTATGGTTGAAATATAAAATATCGTTTTTCTTAAAAACAAATAACATATCCAGGTTTTAATTTATTTGGCTACTTAAATATTCCGGGGATGATAAAGCTGTACCTGTTACTGCCTTCATCTATTATCATCTAATGTTAAAAAACGAAGATAAGGATACGATAAGTTAATAAAATCTTATGAGCATGTACATCATATAGCGAACTGCTTTCAAGAAAAATATTTGTATCCAAAAGATTGGAATATTTCAGGTACAATAACTTGAAAAAAATGCTGATACTGCTACTAGTATGGTTATTATTAGTGATCATGGTAAACCTGTTGCTTGATACTTATTACAACGGAACAAGACCAATATGCCTATCGCAGAGAAGGCAAGATTGTCAGTCAGTTATAGTCGTACGCAACGTAGAATCTAACGCATATGTGCATTGGCCCAATTTACCGTACTACATTAACACAGCGAGATAAGATTAATCTAAGATAAATTTCAGAGTAGTAAAAGTATCACGAACAGAGGAAAAGATTCGAAATAGAAAAATAAGGTGTAAGATTTCAGGACTGAGTTTCTGGAGTAGAACAAGGGGTGAATAGATTTACCATTCTTATCTGGTGTCCATATACATAAACTCATCATTTCTTGTTCTGTGGTCCTAAAATATACGAGCGATGCTTTGAAAATACCTATAGTCAAATGCTAGTAACCTACGAATATCCTCTATTCTTAATGGTCATATTTCACAACTATGAAGTCGAAAGAGACGAACTGATGCGTGGTATATACGCCACAAGTGACTCAAGTTGGCAAAAGCCAATCGAACTTTCTTCAGAAGCCAGCCCATTATGGCTGGTGAAACTCCCTCAAGATAGAGCAACACAGTGAATAAAAAATTATTTATTTACTAACTGAATACATTACTGAATAAAACATAAGAAATTATCATGAAATATAAATATGTCCTTTCAAATATCCAGTAAATGCAATAAACTGAGTAGTTGATAATAGTTGATACAAATCAAGAGACTTGTGTGGCACATATGAATTCGGTGCCTCCTTGTACCAGTATTTATGTGCTCAAATAAATAAATAAATTGACATTGACCGATCAGTGACTATAGATACATTAAGTAGTCAGCAAGCATGACAGGAACGTTAGTGCAATTTTAAAAATTATTCCAAAAAAAGTAGCTATCATTATGCTCGAACCGCTGATATGAATAAAGTTATTCTACAAATTTCAGTAAACCGAACCGAGGAAACTCAACTAGTATATCAGTAGTGAAGTGAAGGGATGAGATAATAGATGGTTCAGTAGCTATTTTCTGGTACGAGCAGTAAATTTACAAATAACTGACTTACAAAAAAGTGAAACCATACAGTCGATACATTTTAATACGTTCTAGGTGAGGAAGTAAAAATAAAACTAGTTATAAAATCACGTCATACGTATTACGTATCCAATGTTGTAAAGGATAAAAAGACATGTATGTGGTGTCTGCTACTTATGTCGACCGACATAAGTAATATGTAACACCAATTGGAAGTGGGAAATCTGGTAGCAGAAGACTAAGATTGAGTTGAAGAGAATAGAAAAGAAAATATAAAGGGATTGTGAACTGGAAGAACGATACAAAATGTGAAGGAAAAATGATGGAAATTAGCAAATGAAGTATTCAGTGTATGATTTTCATATTTTACCAAGAGATTCTGTAATTTTGTATCCATATATAATTGACTACCCCACCTGTGTTCTCGTTTATTACATGTGTACATTAAAAATTTCCAAGATGTGTTTGTAAGTGTTTGAATAGAATAAAACTCTATAGAATGTATTACTCGACAGAAAAACGCTTGGCAAAACAACGCTACCAGTACCATTCAACTCTGATATATCACTGTATTAAGTATGACTGTTTTAAATATTTTGAAGGAATGGGTTCCAAAACAAAATTTTACTAAGTTGAAGAGACAAGATGCGATTGAAGTGCAAAAAACGTAAACAGTGTTTAAAATACTTGGAACAACTCCTTTCGAAAAAAATGAATAAAAATCAGGCAACTAACCATGATGATTATATGACATACATGTTATATATATATAATCGACAGCTGAAGAGTCGGTCATTTAGTAGCATATGAATGATATCAAATAGACTGTTTATTACATTGAGATTTTTCTTTCTTTTTACCAGCACACTGAAATGTTGGGTAGTTGTTAAACATTTCAACACAAAAGAACTGATGTGAAGATATATAAAACATTTTAGTCTTTTTTGACCTGTGCGTTAAAGGCTATAGTTGCAACTATTAACTTAAGAATTTGACTACTGATGTTCAATAAGATGAAACTAGCCTTGGTAATTTTTTTTAAGTTCAGAAACCATTCTCAATTGTATTAATCTTTCATAATTACTTAAATAGTACATTCATTGACTACCTCGGTAAAAATTGGTCCTGTCCACTTTTGGACTACCTCCTAACGGTACAGGTATGTAGCACTATGTTTATAAGTCTGTGACCAAGATCAACATTATTGCAGTTTTTTAGATAAGAAAATCATTGACTATTGAATTTCGGATTAATGATCAAATGAAATCAAACTTCTCTGCGAAACTTGGCCTTAGGTTTATTATATACACAGCTGTGGATGTCCAGTGCTGAAAGTCAGTCAGTCAGTCAGTAACAACGTAGAACTTCGTACGTACGTACATCAGTTCGAGTTGCCACACCACATTAGCACAGAGATGCAGTGGTCGATTCAAATCCCGTAGTGGTAGAGGTAGCAAGAGTATAAGCAATAATCGGGAAGATTAGGGTTTGGAGATGTTATTTAAAGAGTATAATCCAGTGAAAGAAATTTGGAAAGAGGAACAAAGGGACATGAAGAATTCAGAAGATTAGTATTTGGGAGAACACAGAGAGTGGATGCACCTGCGCCATTGCGAACGATTTTGAGCCATGTCATTCAGGGTCTCTAACCATCGGTTGCTGTCATCTCGCGGTCCCCAACCAGGTAGTCTACACCTACCAACATGACTCAGTTCACTTGTCAGTGACTTCATGGACTTGTGCCATGTTTTGGTTTGGCCGCCCCTAGCTTTCTTCCAACCTACTCCTATACCACTGAACATAGCACGTCGAGGCAGTCGGTCGTTGGGCATACGTAACACGTGTCCCAGCCATCTCAACTGATGAAGTTTCACTACGTCATCAATTGATTTTCCATCCTTACCTAGTACCCGTTTCCTAACAACTGTGTTACTTACTCGATGGTCCCATGATATACGAGCAATGTTTCGAAGACACCTATGATCGAATACTAGTAACCTACGGATATCCTCTACTCTTACCGGCCATGTTTCACTGCCATAAAGTAGGACGGAACGAACTGCTGCGCAGTAAACACGTCCTTTGGTTGATAGACGGATATCTCGCCTACGCCATAAATGACGTAAGTTGGCAAAAGCTAGTCGAGCCTTCTGTATCCGTGCTGAGATTTCGTCACACATCAAACCACAAGGGCTGATGAGACTTCCAAGATAAGTGAAGCGGTCGACACACTCAACTACTTCACTCCCTATCACTAGTTCGGGTGTCGATGTAACCCAATCCTGAAGCAACATTTTGCATTTCGAGGGAGAGAATCGCATCCCGAACATGCTTGCATTGTTGCTTAGAGTGGTCAGAAGACTCTGCATTTTGTCAGCGTCTTCACCAAATAAAACTATGTCATCTGCATATTCTAAGTCAACAAGTGAACCTCCTGGTAGAAGTTCAACCCCTGTAAATTTAGATGAGGAGAGTGTTATCTCTAAAAGTACGTCAATGACAAAGTTGAACAAGAATGGGGAGAGTGGACAGCCCTGACGAACACCACTTGAGGCGATCAATTCTGATGACAGTTCGCCATAAGCTCTCACTCTACCAGTTGTGTTCGAGTAGAGAGCCTTTATAAGGTTAATGTACTTCTTTGGTACTCCTTTCAGTGACAAACACTGCCATAGAACCTCACGATCAACGGAGTCGAATGCCGCCTTAAGGTCGAGAAATACTACCATTGTGGGGCGTCTGAATGTGTGTCTCTGTTCTAGAACCTGACGTAGTGTGAATATCTGATCTATACAACCACGTCCAGGTCGAAAACCAGCCTGGTTTTCTCTAGTCTGCTCTTCACGAGCTTTAGTTAGGCGTCGAAGTATTATTGAGGCCAATATTTTAGACACTATATTAGTCAAACTGATTCCTCTGTGATTGTCACAAGAGGACTTTTGTCCTTTCTTAAAAACTGGCACAATCAGTGATTGAGACCAGTCAGATGGCATTACGTCCAGTTCCCAAATTCTACCTAAGACCTCAGTTAATCTTGCTGCTAATACTGGACCACCATCCTTAAAAATCTCAGGAGTAAACCTGTCAGGGCCTGCTGCTCTCCCTCGTTTCAGATTTCCTATGGCTTTTTCAACTTCGTAAAGGGACGGAGGACTTACATTAACTTGCCATTCAGGTTGACTGGAGATCGTGGGAAACCGAAGTGTGGCTGAAGGCCAGTTGAACTGACCCCCAAAGTCTCCTGCCCATCGATCTAATCTCCTGGATTGAGAATGAATAATATGTCCATCTTTCTCTGAGATTGTTTCGCTAACGGTCGGGTTCCTAATTCCGGTTTCCTTAACGAGTCTAAACAATTGTCTGCTATTACCTATTGCCGCTGCCTTTTCCATCTCTCTTGCTTTCGCTACCCACCACTGTTCGCGATCATTGCGTAGACTTCTTGTCAGCTTGCGCTTAAGCTGACTCCGCTCTTCATCATGTTCAGAGCCAGGTGGAATGAGTTTTCGAGCATCTATCAGTGCGATAGATGCTGCTGAGATCCAGTGTTGCTCCCTAACTTTACGGTTTACCTTACTAGCAGATATCACTGCTGTTTCCACAGCTTTTCGGATATCGTTCCATGCTGCCTCGGGGTGGGCATCACATACATGGCTGCCTAACTGTTTTCCTAGTTGTTCCTGAAATATATTCTTAGCTTGACTATCATTAAGTAGGGCCCTAAGAGGTTTCCTTGCAGGATCTTTCCTACGTCCAGTAAGACGCAAGCAAATACGCGCTCGCACTAGAGCATGATCTGAATCTAGGCATGTGCTCCAGAATGAGCGACAGTCTTCTATCGAGCCCCTCCATCGGTGGCTGATAGCGATGTGATCTATTTGGGTCCAACGTTGGGACGAATTAGGGGGTCGCCATGTTAAAAGATGTTTTTCCTTATGCTTAAAGTTAGTATTTACAAGGAACAGGCGGTTATCTGAGCATAGCTGCAACAGACGGTCGCCATTATCTGTTCTTTGAGCCACGACACCATAGGATCCACCTAGGTGTCTTTCCTTATCGCTTAGTTTACCTACTTGAGCATTAAAGTCACCGGCCACTATTACTACATCCGAGCGCTTAGCTTTTCGGAGAAGGTCCGAAAGCTTTCTGTAAAACTCATCTTTTACATCATCTGAGCTGCAGTCAGTGGGAGAATAGGCAGAGACGACGAAGAGGCAACGACGAGTGTCCCTATCTTTCCGGATTCTTACTGTTCCGTTCAGTCGGACAGCGCACAAACGACTGTTTACTGGGATCCACTCTAAGAGAGCTAGTTCTGCCCTAGGACTCAATGCTATACCTACGCCGGCGAGGCCACGGGAAGCAGAATCAGGGCTTCCAGATACACGAAGCGTAAATCGAGTCGGTTCTTTATTTTGGCATGGTGAGATCAAATGAATGACGCTACTCGGATCTTGTATGCGAGTTTCGGAGACGCAGCACACATCGATGGCGCGAGATTCTAAAGTCCTAGCTAAGGAAGCCTGCTGTCCTATTTGGCACAGTGTTCGTACGTTAAAAGCTCCTACGTGTAGTTTAGAGCGTGGTTTCAGGAGACCAGGAATGGCGTTCCACGTACTCGAATCGTTTGCCCTAGCGGTGCGAGGTGATAAAGAGACGTGAGGAGGGTTAGTCGGGAGGATAAGAGAGGTATTAGGAGGTGTAGGGAGGATTTGAATGTGACCACCTTGGTCTCTTGTGCTGTTACGGGTATGAGGGCTGATGTCACTTCCCGGCTGCCCACACCGTGGAAGGGTATTTCTTGATGAACCTGAAAAGGAAATTGGATTAGTGTTGGTCTTGACGACCTGGGAGCGTGACCGCAGAGCCCAAGGGACAACTACTTGAGGCCGGTCGCGCACGGCCTTTTTGTGGAAGGTTTTTGACGTGTTAGCTCCGTTCTTCAAGGGGCCTTACCGCCGGAGACGGAAATACGTGAGGTAAGGTGAGGTGTGCATTTTTAGAGACGACCTTTTCTAACCCCACCCCTCCTTGTGGGAAGGCAGCATCGCTGTCATGCTGGTTGTCCGAGGGAAACACCTTACTGCTGTCACACCTCTCTACAGTCAGCAGTACGACTTCGCCCTCAGACCTTGAGTTGCTGCTTTTAGTCTTACCGTTCGCCAATCGACCTGCCTGGCATGGTAGAACCTGCAGGAACATATGTTCCAGCCAATATAGCTCGGTTGGGTCATCACGATAGGCAAGCCCGACCACCGCGTCAAGGTAGCAGCTTTCGATCAAATAAAAGCTAGTATTTTAGAAAATACTAATTTAGCTCTTCATATGCTTGCAGAGATATAACGGTTACAATCTGCATGGTTGAGACCCACTACTTAGGTGAATAACGTGAAAAACTACCATACTTCATACTGGCAGACCATGTCGACAACCATTCCCATAATATGACTACTAATTCGTTTATATGAAAGGACCAAATTTCTCTTCCCATAATCCCAGAGGCAATTTGACTAGTACGACATGTAAAATATTGACCTTGGTGATTAAAAGACGCTTAACCAAAACTACTACAGGGAAAATTGGGGAAAATAATGCTGATTTCAAGCGTGGATGGGTCGACTGAACATTTACCCTTTTCTGGTTTCTAGAAGAGATGTATACTTACCAACAATAATCTCATTTATACGAATATTCGTCAAGATTAGAACGAATGGTTTGACAGTAATTGAGCGCCGAGTATAGAGAAGTCATTATATGTGAAAATTATATTTGAAATATTCTCAGCGATTGAATTAGTTAAATTTCAATCGCTGAGAATATTTCAAATATAATTTTCACATATAATGAATAATCTTATTTGTTGCAATAGTCGACTCCGATGATCGGGAAGTTTTATGGTAGTGTTAATGTACCAAGTTTTATGTTCCTCATCAGTAACGTATAGCTTACCATTTGATAGGTGCAAAATATGCCGAAATACTCTAAACTTTACGTAAGTGTTTAGTTGACCGTTGAGATTATTACTATTATTATCTGAAAGTACGTGTATGTAACTGACCTTTGAAGGTACAGATAAGCAATTAATGTCAACAAAAAAAATAACAGCGTAAGGTAAAGTATATCCGAAATATTCTTGATAATAATGATTAGATTATAATATCTTATTATACAATTATGTAAAGCGTCATAATTACTGAGACGCATATGCAGATTTTTTATATGACAACCCTATAGTAAGATGTCACGTATAATCCAGCACATAAGCATGCTGGTCCAAGTTGTCGGAGCATCTCCCAGAGTATTAGAGCTAGTAACAGCCCATAGAGGACCATCATCACCATACATGGGCACATAGTGTTGCCACTGGGTGCTATCTACCCTTCGAAGACGACATATTTGACACAATCAGTGGAAGCTGCTTGGATTGATGTATTGCACACCACAGCCTAGACGACTACAAAAACAAAGTGGTGTCACTAAATAAAACCCTAATTGACATAAGTCACTAATTATTAGCATACACAGGTTAATTGTTTAAAACTACTACAAGCATAACATAGGCACCCAGTACATAACCTTTGTGACCATTTTAAATTGCTCACCACCAAATACTTCGGATAGTACGAGATATAGAGGGCTTTACAGAAGTACTTCGATCTTCTGAAGAGAAGAGTACATTATTAACCACAAACAGCACATCTAACAAAATATGCAGCCGTATATATTACAAACTACATATCATTTCGTTTAAGCTAGCTACTTACTGATTAAGTGACGTTTGAATAGTCTGCACGTCGCCAAAAAGTACACTAGTATTATTCGCATACGAGGTTAAAACCCCGATTAAAAAGGCAACGATGTTCTTATTCCTCAAAACGCGAATTGAGATGTATATTAGATAGCGAGTGTTTTCAGAAATGAAAGGCGCAAGATAGCAAGAAATAATCTTGACTAGTGAGATTATTACGAAATTTGAAAGACAGGGGTCTCCTAATTTGATCATAAAAAGTAAAAGAGAATATTTTGCATATTTGTGCGTCTCTGGATATATATTATGCAAATTCAGATAAATAAACAAAACTGTGTAGAGCATAAAAATTAGTCAGATCACTTCAAAAGGTTGTGGACGGAATAGAAGCTTTCGCTTAACAGGCTCCCATGTCTATTAGGAGGGGATCACCAATGAATAACTGTCTCAAGATAAGTTTCTCTGATTGAAATCGACTAGTAGCAGACATTCGAACGAACTTACAAACGACTACAACTTGAATGTTGCAGAACTACGACCTCCTAATAATATGTGGTAAGCTCATAAAGGTGACGGCCTACACCAAAGGTCACAGTGCTGAAAAATACAAACTAGAGCAAAATAACCGGTTTTCCAATCAATGTTAGTTTACAACGAAAATCCTCAAAAAAACATCAACACTTACATCTGAATACATGAGGATATGTGTCCTGATTACGGTGATTAAATCTTTTATTATATTCTTGAACAAATGAAATATTTTCTGGCCACTCGCTGAATAACTTAGGGACTTCGGATGTAAGAACTTTGCCAACTATATCATCTGATTTTCCACGACTGTGTAGCTGGAGAAGAAATCTCACACAGCACTCATGAAACCAAGGATTGTCACGTGAATTTGTAAGTTGCACACCACGAGAAATCCATTTGAGCATGAGGAGAAATTTTCCTGTTAAAAATGAAAACGAAACGTAAGTTCATAATTTCAAAACTAAAGGCCATATACTGCTACTGTGTGCTACCGCAGTTCAACTAAATAAAGTGATTAGGAATAGAAATTCATTTGTTAAGGAATACATTATCAATAAATTAGTCATAATCAACGTAGAGATTGGCACAGATGAGCGTTATCTCAAAAATGCCATAACACATTAGTACGATGAAATGAAGTTAACATGATGAACGCTGAAATAGTTAAAATAATTCTAGTAGTAACTATGATGAGGAACATTGTTAGAAAAGACATGAAAAGGCATGTATGTAGAAATACTAGAACTTGAGATAAATAGTGAATAGATCTAAGCCAGTGTGACCAAATCCAATCCATTTCATCAAATGTTTCCAACCACTGATCACTTACCACGCAGGTCCTAACCAGGTAGTCTGAACGTAGCAACACGGTTCAATTCAACAGCCAATGATTTCATAGAATGAGCCCACGTTTTGGATTATCAGTCTCTAGCTTTCTTACAACCTACTCATACACCAGCCCTCATCATGCGTCGGCATAGGTAAAATACGTTTCAACTGCCTCAGTTGGTGGACTCACAACCCCATTAACCGACTTGTATTCCTTACCTAATATCCCGCGCCTAACTTTCGAAAGACTCGCTCAATTGTTCCATCACACGCGAATAATATTTGGAAGACATGTATGATCAAAAACCAGAGCCTATGTATACCTTTCATAGAGTAAAATCGATGTTTGGGTAGTATGTTCATCCTTTTATTGATACACGATCTCACCTACACCACAAGTGATACAAATTGATAAAGACCAAACGAGCTTTCTAACTCTGTGCTGAAATTTAGACACCAACGCATTGGGGTTAATGAGACTTCTAAGATAACTGAAGTGGCCAGTGCACTCAACTACTTCACTCCTTATGATCACGTTAACAAAAATACACTGAAGATATGTAAATGATTTTAGTATTTAATGGTAACATACAAGAGTAACATTAGGCTCCTTGATATTTCATAACTAAACAACTAAACATGGTTTTGATAAGTTCGATGAGAATGTTCGTAGGATTCTCCACATAATATAGCATGTCAAAATGATAGATTGTAGAGCATTTAGTAAATTTTAAACAGAAAAATGATTATTTAAATTCTCACTTACGCTTTCTCTCATAAACTTCAAAGGCCAAACAATAAGCCTCAATAATTTTAGGAGACAAATCCAGCAAAGGGAGAAGAAATTTGGATGCCTCTTCAAGTGGATCCTCAGGCTATTTTATTGGGAGAAAAAATAACATTAAAAAATTTGAAATCAAAAACAGTTAGCAATTGTTAAGTTACATGAACTTGAGTCAAAATGTGACCAATAGTTTTGTAAACAATGAAGAACAATCAGACGTAAACTACATTTGGGAGAATGTAACCAATCTTTAATTTGTGCATTTATAGTCAGCTGGATGCCTTATATAATATATACACAAAAATTCTTTAAAGAGCTTCATATTTATGTATGTGACTATATCTTCAGAAAAAGACTTACTGATAAATCGGAGCTGTAAATCTCTGGCATCAAATAGTTCGGAAACGAAAACGGGTGACCATGGATAACACAAAATAATGATCATGACAAATTACAGTTCATCTGCAGTCGGAAAACATGAACTATGGAAACCTAACTCAAAATCTAGATGTTATCGTAGTCAAAATCGGGTATGGATGTACTTGATTTGATTCTGCATAGCTTTGAAAGCATGGACAACTGAAGACTCGAAATATGGTAAATATTTCTAGCGTCCTTCTGGTTTTCAATTGTTATCTAATGGTAAACAGACTTAAGATTGGCCACTTTTATACAGAGTTTATTAAACTGAAAAAGGCATTAACTAACAAGAACTCACGTTGACTGCTAAGACAAGTTGCTTAAAAATCTTAAAGTATTTGGGATAGTTAATTATAGTTAATATCAGTCACAATGTCATTTCATGAGGCGAAAAAACAGAGGCAAGTGTGGCAGTTTATTGGTGAAAAACGGGAAAGAAACATAAATTGGCCATTCACGTACGCTAGCAAGTGATAGTACAGTTTAATCAGACAATATTTTGTTATTTGAATAGTAGATCAAATAAAAAATGAACAAAAGAACGACGGAATTAATTTTAATGTGTAACTTTAAAATATAGATATCCTTTTTTAAGAGACTGCCATCAGTATCTACAAGCATGGTAAAATCTGACGCCAGAATTATGAGTCAAGAAACTTTCCAGTCAAGGATGAGACTAAGGTTTCCAATTTTATATAAGACTATTATTAAAAACAGCAAATGTGTCAATCTACAAGCTAAAAATGCCGGAACAGAATTTATGAGTTATTTCATAAGGCAAGCAATCTGTAAGTCAAGGTTGAGTATTGTCGCTAAAATGTAAATCCCATTTAATACAACTGACAAATACTTACTCTGGCCAGTAGATTAGCATCTAGGTCGTTTTCTCCCATGGATGGATTATCTGCATTTGCTTCTTCGGATGCAGGCTGTCTTGAACGAGATGCTTGTTCTCGACGTTCCTGTTCAGCTCGAGCCCGAGCAGCTTCCGCTTCCGCACGCTTAGCGGCTTTCCGTTGTTTATTTCGTAGCTTTTTAGCTTCAGATGAAGACATACCGTCTATTTTTACATTTACAAAATGATAGGAAAATAACTGCGTGTCAATTTTATATGAAGTCAATTACATTCAGGAAATAAACTAAACTTACTTAAATACCGAACAACCTTTTATAGATTTATAGACACTGTTGTTTAAACTTGAGAAATGAGTGAAAAACATCCCAACGTTGATCTGAAATATTATTTACAGATAACAATCTAAACTAATAAAGGGTTGGTTGGTTTATTTCAACTGAATGTAAAATCCCATGCACTTGGTTTCCTTTATTGGAATAAAAAAAATCCCCAGTTAGATGTACCCAAACGGATCAACAAGCTCAATATATTCGCTATATGATGAGATAATAGAAAACAAGTCTTGAAGAGCTGAGCACTTGTGATACAAACTATGTACAAATTTTTCGTGAATAGTCAAAAGATATATCTCATCATCAGAATTTCGCACGAGAAACTGATCTCAAGAAAGTAGGATAACTAAAAACATAAGTACTACTGAAAAAGGGGGGAAATCATTTACATATATTCATGTAGCAAGCAGTTCACTACGATTGGAGAACCCCACAAGCGAAAACTTCAATCCCGAAAATAAAGTGACAACGTTGAGAAAGAAGAGGGGTAAGTTTGCAAAAATCTTACAGGATACAACTAAAATGAAAATGTAACCTGAGTAGATCTCGTACGCAAATCTTGGAGAAAGATTTTTGGCTTAAAGTTACCTTAACGGAATAAACGAACAACCCAGTTACCCACACCACACTAACTTCTAGTCTGAGCCACGTTGGTAGATGCAGACTACTTGGTTGGGGTCCGCGTGACTTTCGTAACCAATGGTTGGAGACTCTTGGTGACATGGCTCAGAATCGATCACAGTGGCGTCGGTGTATACACTCCCTGTCTTCCCTTAAACTAAGAGACTAAAATCACTTCATTCTTTCTGTCTACGAACTAATTCTTTCTTCCTATACTATATCCTTATTGCAACCTTTGACATAACCACTCCTATGAATCCGGTGTTCATCTTGCTGTGCTAATGAGGTATGGCAACCTGGACCGATGCACATATGTGCCTGGTCCTACGTTGTAGCTGACTGACTGACTGACCACACTAACTACTTTTGAGATTAAAATATGCATGAGAACCATTGGGCCAGCAAGTCAATCAATTTTATTGATAGTAGACTTCAATCAAAGGTGTAAGGAACCTGAAGTCATTCCACTGTTTGAGTGAGAACTTATACAACTTGTAAGCTATGGAGTAAAATACTAGGAAAATTGACAAAAAAATAAAGTATCGTTTAACTTCCAATACATAAAAATAAAAGAATTTACTTTTTAGACAACATTTTACAAATAAGACACATTGGTCAGGATCATGATTATTTCCGTCGACCTGATCAACTATGTAATTTTTCAATACAAAAAACAATTATATGATAAACTGCATTAGATGTTTAGATGAGAATTGATGCGCTTGACCAGTCTGGCATAGCCGAATGGTAAGTTAGAGGTGCTGATTGGCGTACACTACTGGTCAAGATCTGGCTTCAATTTCCAAGGAAATGAACAAATTAAGGGTTGAAAATGTGGTCGTTTTTTCTGAGGGATATATTTATCTATACTTACGAATGAGTTGTGCATATATTCTCTATTTGGTTGACCAATAAAATCTTCCTACTTACTCTTGGTTTTCCTATTCAGGTAGCTAGTACGGGTAAGTATACAAGAAGCATATATACCAGTATCAAACTCCGAAAACCGCAAAACGTAGTGTTTACCAGATACAGGAATGGAACTCGAACTGACGCGGGGAAATTCTAACCGTTGGTAACTAGAATATTGCAGAAACATGTCATCAATTTGTCTGACCGAGAAATGCTCCTAAAAAGTGTGTACAATGTTTGTGTCTTATAGACAGTTGAAAGGACTTGAGCTAAGATTGCTAACAAGTACAACATACAAAACTCGTTTGTAAAAAAGACCGACATTCGAAACAACAAATCAAGAGTTCTAACCATTTTCGCCGTGAGGAGATTCATCAATACTGTCCAATGGTTGAGAATACAGTTGCAAGTAAATCTAGAAGGGGAATCGAAAGTTGATAGAAGTGAAACTATAATGTAAGCAACAGAATTGATATTGAGATAGACAACGTTTACTAGAAGCAAATAAAAATAAATCAGTTGGATTGAGAGAAATCTGTCAAATTAAGAACATACTTTACGACCGTTCATCGCTTTACTATAAGATAGTTATTGCAAGCGTAAAAGCTCCGTGCATGTGCATGGGAAGAGGCCGCTGACTGAGTGAATTTGAAGTTGGGTGCCACTTTTAAACAATTTGTGAACCAGCACCCTCTGGAGCAAATGAACCATATTTTATACACAATTTTATTGCCTGACATGTGATATTGGTTGGATGAGAATTACCTTTGACAGAAACCGGGTACGAGTGCATTTATTTACAAGGCTACTGAAAACTAGAGTCGTACATGGAGATGTAAACTTCTTGCATGATGTTATCAATACAGAAATAACTGGCTGCAAACCTTGTCAGAAATTGTTCTAAACAGTTCATAACGACGAAGAAAACTTTTTTGATCAAAATCTCAGTACTATTAGTTGACTGACATTTTTGACTAGTTCGTCTCTCACTCCCATTGTCTTATTTTAGGGTCGACCTTTTATAACCCCTTCATTTTTTTATGAGGTAGCACGGTTAGAGACGGTTATTTGTGCAAAACCTCATATCGTAATCATACCACAGTATATTTAGCAGCACAACTCTGGCCTCGAACTTTAGATTATCTGTTTTCAGTTGCATTATCATCCAACCGACCACACTGCAATGGGAAATCTCTAGGAACAATTGTTTCAGACAATGTAGCTTGATTGAGTAGTCACGATAGGCAACCCCGACCGTTAAATTAATGTAACAGCTACGGCCAACTTCTTTGCTATTCATCTCGTGGTGTTGATCTGATATGGGGACAACCCTAATTCCCCTAAGGCTCTATGTTGCGTATAACTGACTGAATTCAATAAAAATATTAAAATTATTTTGAAACGTCATATGATATGATGCCTAAGAAATAGGTCTGACAAACAGGTCTCAATTGTTTGAAGAACGAGTGACCCATGAGCTAATTTCATTCAATCGCATATAAAATGTTGTTTTTATTTTTTGTTTATATTCTTTAGGTAAGCATGTTATTTAATCTATTTTTCTGGGCTGATGGTAATCTGTGATTCCAAACTATTCGAGGGTTTATATCAATAATGTAGTCTTTTGAGTAGCCATCACTTGGATACATCAAATCAGTGAGTTCATCTATCGACTAGAGTTCTATTCATTGATTTAAACGACCGAAAACTTAATATCATCAATCATTGAAAACCTCCTCTATAACACTATGTTAATGAGCAAACCATAGTTGAAGACTAATAATACAGCAATTGTATTGAGATTATTTTATTATAACTAGAATTAACAAAATGAATATAGCTATGCAAAATAGCAGATAAACGCTACAAAAGTCAACTTTAGCTGGATGAAATTCCGAAACAAAACTTTTTAACTCCATATTAGACATACTGATTCAAAAACACTACAGATGATTTATAAATTATACATGTGAATAACATATACATGTAAATTATATATGCAATAGCTAAAAATAAAACACCTACAAGTAGTGAACTAACAGATACTGTAAGTATTATCTACACATCGAAAGTGAGACAACTTTCAGAAACGTTTAAAGAAAAGACACTTTAGACTCACTTCAACTGCAAGTTGAGCGGTATCAAAATAAGACTGATGATCCCGTAAACGATCTTCTAATCGCAGTGTCTCAACATATGATCGTAGCGTAACCTTCCGCAGACAGTAGGAATGGAAGTCTAACTGATCATCAAGAATATTTCTGTAGTGCTACCAGTTATTGATGATTTCATATGCAACAATCGAATAGATATAGATAAAAGTCAGTCAAGATAAGTATACATCAACAAATTAAATTAAAGATGGCATGAAATACTAATTTTTCGAAAGGGCTAGCTACATCCTAAAATTTCGAAACTTTACATCTTAAGTAGACAATAATTCTTGTTTAAATAATCGAAGAGAAACATAAAGAAATAGTAGTCGATCCAGTCATTCACTACTATGGAAACAATATCATCAATATATTTACTAATTCACAATTCCTGAACCGCCATGTTTTTTATTTTGGTAATGAAACAGAAACAATCAATACGTGCTATTATTTCTAAGACACATGTGCAAGCACAATTCAGTAGGTTTTAACACAATCTTTGGTACGTTGAACTTACAGTTGTCAGATATATCATTAAATGATGGCAGAAAAACTTAGAGAAATTCCAGATGAAAGCCATGGTATTCATCGATAGGGAAAGATGTGGTGCTGACTTCTTAGATATTTTGTATTGACATGGAGTTTTAAGGATTTCACACACTACATACATACATATTTTGAAGCAAATGACGATAAGATTCATTTACTACGATTAAAAATAAAAATAAAAAAGTGGGTAAATTAAGGCTACTTATCATTAGCCTAGTAGACTTCCAACAGTCTGCAAAAGACGATTTTGTGAACAAGGCTTTATAGTTCATCTATATATTCGAGCAATTTATTTGAATGGGTAAAGTTTTGGTGATGACGATCGCTTATATTTTAATCGTCTCTAGCAAATGAAATTAAACTAGGCTTTAAACCTTATATCTATCCACTTCCAAAACGCCTGAAATCTTGCCACCAAAAAAACCTTTATGTTTACTTATGGATACGCACTTAGTAACCGTCGTACGAATTACCTGAACTTTGTGATTTTGCCTTTACTAGTAGTTTAACTCTAGAGAGTAGCATTTCAACACCTCTGAGACATCTTGAAACTTAAGTACAGACATCAAATCCATAATACGGAATTGTCACGGGGAAATTGATGTCTGACAGAAAAGTATCTTTTTGGATTGGTATATATTACTATTATATATACTACTATAATATTATGTCTTCGAAAGTGCTTCTAGTCTGATTCATGGGAATTTTTAAATAAATCGACACATATGATTGTAAACAGAGGAATCTTGAATGATCACACTATTGAGACAAGTACTGCACATTTAAATATGCATAGAATTTTTTAATTTGTATAACTCAAATCTTTAACCGGTTTAAACATTTGTCTTTAGTGCGAAGTAGTTGTTTAAGTAAGAGATTACTTTTAGTTAACGCACGGTTGAAAATTTGTTATCAATAAACTAGTCGGCTAATGAATTTCGCAATTTTGAGCAATTCAGAATACCATTTGGTTTAAAGTGAATCAGAATAAAATAATTGACGAATTCTTGATAGCAAGAGTTCGTTATCTACAATGGAATATTTTCATTGATTTTTGAGCACAACATGTATTCACACATAGGGATGTTTAAATCTCACCCCAATTTCGTTATGGAAGTGATAAAAGCATTTAAACGGAAGTGCAATTAAAAATCAAATGTGCGTTGTAAAGAATCCTGAAACTTAGTTTAATTCAACTCGATAGGCAAGTAGGGATTTGTCTATCGAGGTTAAACCATTTAGATGATAACGGGTTTTACCAGATACATGGTTTATGACTAAATATACAAATCTAAGTGACCATTAGTTTACACTGTGAACACATTTACCCACGCTAGCGTATGAGTTTCAGAAACTGTTAACTACACCTTATCGAACAATTTAATGCACCTAAATGACTTTATATGTAGTTCTTTGAGTATTTTCTCTAGTTCGCACAAAAACATAGACTACATTACTTTCAAAATATTGTTTATGTAAAAACATAACCAATCACTTACTTGCTGCACTTCGTGACACAACTTAAGGGCATCACCAAATCTGCCCATTTCTTTAAGTGCTCTGGCATTATCTAACAGAAACCACATGCACTGCATCTCAGACAAGTATTCCTTTGGCGATGTGTTTCCCTATATTACAAATAAATAAGCTATAACAATATTACCCTTGTAAATTTAGAAGCCATGTTAGTGGCATCTTCAAGGCGATGAGCTTCCACCATGAATTTTGTACAGCGAGCATTAATAAAACGATCAGCTGTATCTAGAGATTGGGCTTCTTCCATCCACCGACTGGCTGTTATATAGTCCCCTGCATCATGAAAGACATCGGCTTTTAGGACATAAAAGTCAACTAACGTAGGTGTTGAGAGCAACTGAGAATCTATGATTTCAATGGCTTCCTGAAAAGTGAAATAATATTAACTACGAATTGTACCTGATATTTTCTTTTGAAGTTATAATACTGAGCTAGTAAATAGTTCAGCCAAACATCTGTTGTGGGAGCTTCTTTTTCATTACTTTCCTGTGCATCAAGGGATCCGATGGCACTCATGCTGTTACGATATTTAGTTAAAAGACTTTCAAAAGCTGAAATCTTTTTAGAGTCATTTAAAAGCCCCGCAAGTTGTATAAAAAGTGGAGGAACACCTTTTCTGATGTATGGCTTTAGGTAAGCATCCAAACGCTGGAGAAACTCGTCACCTGCAACAAAATGTATACATTTACCAAATCAAACCTGAACAATAATTCAGAATCAACCGTCTAGATAGACGGGATTGGGGGTAACGGGCAATAACTGACTCATAAGTCTTTTTCGTCGTTTCAGTATTTGCGTCTGTTATACCACTGACTAAAGCTGTATTTGCCTGTGCCAAAAGCTCAAGATATAAACTATTTTCCTGATTCCGATCAATTAAGCTCCATGAACACTCAACCGCTTCCTCATACTGTCCAAGTTTCAAGTGAAGTTGAGCTGAAAACAGATAACCAGAAAGTAGAAGCCTACCCTTCATTTCCAACAAAGATATTTTATCAACTATTTCGTTGCTATATTGATTTAGATGTTCTAAGGCAGCATTTTCTTTTCCAGCTTCAAGCATGATCATTGCTTGGTAGAGTAGTAGCTCACTGTGTTCGTAATCGAACTGAGGTATTTCACTTTGACCCTTTTTGAACTCATTGATGACTGTAAGAGCGATTTCATAGTTTCCCAGCAAATGGTGAATTAAAGCATAGCCAATCCATGATGCTTTTTGGCTAGGTCGCAGTAGAAGCAGCTTGTAACGTATGTCCTGACAAAAGTTTCTTAGAAGGAAAATTAATAGTATACCCTGCATCCTTCATAATCTCTCAACTGCATTTGTAAAACGGAAAGATCCCTTAGCACTTGTAAATTTTCATTATCTAACTTTAAAGCTTGCAAGTAGCACTTTATCGCTTCTTCGTACTTATGGTCAGATTTATGAATAAGACCATAAATATGCCAACCTATCGTGATAACCCAAAGCACGGGAACTTACAAACAAAGCTGGTGATGTTGGCCTTTAAACCACGCTTTACATATTCCCTTGCTTCATCTTTCTTACCAAGACAATTTAATAAAATACCTTTCATCGCCAAAGTTTCTGAAAATAAATTGATCACATCCACATTACCGGACAGAATGAACTTACCTCCATGTTCGCTAAATTTTGGATTGCTAAGGATTTGTTTAGCATACTTTAATCCATTTTTGTACTGCTTTTGGTCATAATATTTCTGTGAAACATGGATTAAGGGAAATAATATGCACTAACAACAACTCTCTTGAATATTGAGAGTTCTTTAGGAGGGAGAGTATAAGTAGATGCCTGTTTACTCATCGCCGAATATAACACATGAACTTTGATGCCAACTCAAATTGCGAGCTTGAACATTACGCGCTTCAAAAAACACTTGTGGTCACAATGAAAAGATGATTTAGATTAAAAATATTTTGACAAACTGTGTATAGGCAGTGAGGTGCATAAAAACAACCGATTTATTCGGGTCCACCTTTAGTTAATCAGTCAACTCAGTGTCTTTCGTTGCGTAATTAAAATGTTTCGTTACACGTAGATATTATCAATTATATTCGAATTCATCCATTTTTTTATCGTAAACACTTGATAGAAACTTATGAAAATATTTACAATACCATATATCCTGCTGTAGCGGTGAATAAATCCCCAAAGTCGACATTGGATGCTTAGCACATTAGTTTTAATGGACTCACCTAGCTGAAGGCGCTCGGTCATGCATTCGCACCAGATCACGAGTGGGAACGCCAAGCTCAACATCCTCTGCAGTCGCTAGCCAGATTAGATCAGTCGATCCTCAATTTATTGATAGCCTGTCAAATATATCATCGAACCTCCTCGTTTCTGTTTTTTGATTTCACTTGGTGGTTATGATCCATAGTAGAAGGTGTTACTGGTTAAAGCGTTGTCAAACTACAAATATCTGCGGTACATTCACTGCTTATACTATCATAAAATGCGTTCGTGGAAGTAAATAAATGTTCAAAATAAATTGTTCTAAATGTCTTCAACATTGGTGCTGTCCTCATTAATTAATTACCCCTTGCTTTCTCTTTAAGCTCCTCTTCAGCCAAGTACTGTCCTCGTGAGACTCGACAACTGGACTACATTTCGCAATTTACTTCACACATCCAACACATTTCTGGAGCAAACAATGTAGTTGCAGACGCTCTATCTCGCATAACTTCCTTGGACAGTTTCCAAGGAATCGACCTTCTTAAACTCTCCGAGCTTCAAAAAGAAGACAGTGATCTTCAACACGAGTTATCGTCCACAACACATAAACTACGCATCAAACAGATTGGAACAGGTAAGGAAACCTTACTTTATGACACATCTACAGGTAGGGATCGCCCAATCGTGCCGAAACATTATCGACGCAACGTCTTCATTACGTTGCACAAACTTTCTCATCCAGGTGTTCGTGCAACCATCAAACTTATAGCAGAACGGATTAGCTGGCCTGGCATGAACAAAGACGTGAGGGAGTGGGCACGCTCCTGTGTAAGCTGTATGAAATCTAAGGTTATCAAACACAATAAATGTCCCTTAGGCTCATTTAAAACTCCCGATGCTCGTCTCGACCATGTTAATCTGGATTTGGTAGGACCTTTACCAGATTCAAATAGATACTCTTAACCTGCGTAGACCGTTTCACTCAATGGCCAGAAGCAGTACCTATCAAGGACATCAATGCTGAGACAGTGAATCCTTTATCTTCTTGAATGAACATGGATCTAACCTCCTACACGAACAGGCTTACAAACGCAATGCGTTCAGCTAAACCTGTTTCCACTCGACCTCCATCAACTGATGTTTTCGTTCAACCTGACTTACTATATAGTACACATGCCTTCGTACGTCAAGACTCGCATCAACGACCGTTCGAATCAGCATACGAAGGATCTTTCAAAGTTCTTCAACACGAAATTAAGTACTATATGGTCGATAAGAATGGAACCAACGATAGCATCAGCATCGATCGCCTCAAAGCAGCGTATTTAGAAGGAAACCCCATCTACGTCGATTTCCCTTCGATATAGTCGCACGACATGACTCCGAAAATTATAGTACGTCATCCAACAACCTCACACACGATGATACTTCGACAGTATCTGAAAATAAACTTAAAACAACGCGTTCTGGAAGAGTAAGATTTCTAGAACATTTCAACGATTATTGCTAGTAGGGTATTAGATGACATTTTATATCACCTCAATTTTTCTTTACACTATATGTAATATAAGAAAACTAATATTATAATGCTTATGTATTTATATTTATATTTCTAAAAAACAACACAAAAAACATTTTGTAAAAGTCCTTTTTAACGCTATTACGTGTGAATGAGTTTATTTTCCTTTTTCGCCCGCTTTGAGTTTTTACGCACGTACGAGCGTATTTCGACATGCACCTAAATATTTTTTCTTTTCCTGGACGGCTGGAAAAGACAATAAAAAGAACGGTGAAGTTTATGAGTAAACGAAATTTTCATTGTACTGCAATTCCTTGTTACAATATTGTACGATACGGTCCGTTATAGTAAGGAAAAACGACCAGACACTGCTAAACCTAGCAAGATATCAGAAGAGTATTTATTAACGACAAAACTCGTTGGGTTTAAACTCCTGGCTGGCCACGCCTTAGGGTCATCACTATCCCACTAGGGGGGCAGTGATCTGTAGCGGTAAATAAATCCCCAAAATAAATAGCTCTGTAATTTTCGACGTCGGATGCTGACCACATTAGTTTTAATGGACTCACCTAGCTGAAGGCGCTCGGTCATGCATTCGCACCAGATCACGAGTGGGAACGCCAAGCTCAACATCCTCTGCAGTCGCTAGCCAGATTAGATCAGTCGATCCTCAATTTATTGATAGCCTATCAAATATATCTTCGAACGAATTCATTTCTGACTTTAATTTGACTGAGTTGGTATAAACTGATTGTAAAAGTGTTGAGTATAAAGGCGTTGTAAAACTTTGAATACCTGTAGCACCTTTATTGATCTCAACAATTGGTTGCTCCATGTTCATTCAAAAGGAGCCTGAAAATACAAAGTGTTTCCCCTCACAGACATAAATGGACCTAATTCGTTGTTCTCACCTTCAATGCTCACAGTTAAGTAACCACATTCTCATTTTTGTAATATGGCTGGGTGTTTAGGCTGGTGTTGAATTGTTGCAGCTGTTTCATGTTTAGTTTTGATCTTAGATATAGTAGCTGCACTCGATATGTTTTCGATTTACGGAGGGTGAGGGGATGGGACTTCAAGGTTTGTGATGTGGCCATCATTGTGACTGTTGCCGATGCACACACTGGGTTGGTTGGTTTGCATATTTTTTACGATTTGACATTCGATGAACGTCCAGTCATGGTTGATTCTAATCTTCTTAAATGTTTGAATGCGCCGAAGTAATGGAATCACTAGGTATCTGTATGGCAATAGATCCTGAATATTTTGGGTGAAGTTACGTTCTATGTGACTGCTCTTAGAATTGCCAGTCATGAATGTATTCGAGTTTATACCAAAACTGTTAAGGTCAACAGGGTTGCACATTGATGTTTTGTCAGTGGTTATTGGTTGACCTCAAACACTCATCAAATCCACAATCGGATATCCTATATAGTGCCTCACATTTTCCAAAAGATTTTCATGATAAGTGACGCTTTCGAGTGGATTGCAAGAAGCACAGTAGCTAACGTAAATTAATTTATATTACTACCAAATTTTCGGAATCAAAGGACGTTTATCCTACTTTGTTCTTCAGCGTTTCCTTCACCAACTATGACATGTTTCATCGTTACAGTTCTCCACACACTGTTTTTTGTTCCAATGTTTTATCCGAAGTTTATTAATTGATAAGTTTAAGTTCAACCTGCTAATAGGCATACCTTAACCTCTCCCACTGCAAAAATGGAAAACTAGGCTTTATCAACCAAATTTTGTCGTTAATTTCACTGCTTTCTACTCTCTTTTTCCAGCGCCACGAATGTAACAGGCAAAGGTAGAATTCGGAGCAGATGTACCTTCACTAAAGTTTCAGCTTGTACGATGTGACATTTCTAAACAGATTATATCAACCGTGAACTCATAGTAAAGTACTAACACATAAACCCATTTATTAATTTACCGGCTTATCCGCATGAATATTCTATCACAAATCCTCATTGGCTTCATACATTTAATAACCGTACTTAGGTGATATCTTATCTGTAAACCAGTGTTGCAAATCGTTCATTATGCCTTTGATGATGGCACTTACCTGCTGTGTATTATTATTAATCATAACATTAGTTATATTCCTATGTACACAAATTTACCATCCTCTTTTCAACACCAGTGTCTTATTACTTGTCAACCTAATAGAATAACTTACTGTAACATATACTGTGTCACCTGAATATTTCGACCTTACCTGAAACCTATAGTTATTTTAGAATAAATTATTATTATATTTCATTATTTAACTTTGCTGAACAATAATTGGTTGAAGAAATGAATTATAATACTTGTTTAGATAATAGTCTGTGTTGGAATTAATAATCTTCAATCACCCAACCACTTTCTTGTGAACTTTTACTGAGCAAGTTTGTGGGTGTCAGAGCCAACCTCCACAGTTACTCTGACTCGAAACTACATTGGCTTGGAAGCTAAAATTGTGTTAAAATGGAAATAACACTTAAAACAGTGTATCAAGTAATTATTTGGAAGTAAAATATATCCAAGGCTGCATCGGACTGGTCTAATCTTCATTCTTTTGAAATGAATTTGAACTGTTCAGTGTGTCAGTTAGTCAGTGTATACCATTATGTGTAGGTATTTATAATAGTTGAATATGATTAACAGATAGGTAGATAAACATACTTAGTGCGCTCTGTCTCTGGGATAGACATGCAACCAAACAAAGTCATGTTGGAAAGATTCTTACATAAGGCATTCTAATTAATCAGCCTATTGGGTACAAGCTAGCCAGTGGAGTTAGCTTGGTGCGCTTGGTAGTCATGTGCTCTTCCAGTTATCATACCCAGAAATGAGTAGACAACTATATTCATTTAACATATATGCTTCAAATATTATTCACTTTCAGTCCCTGAATGGTTTTAACTGCTTTTATGATTAGCGTTTATTAACAAGTTTGTTTTCCACAGTATGTGGTTGCTGAGTCCATGCTAAATCGCCTTTTTATTCGGGCTTGGGTCCGACAGCAACCCTGGAGAAGCTACATGCGGTTTGCAAAGTTAAGAGCGTCATTGTAAGTTAAGGTCTATAAACACAACGATCGAAGACTTTCATATAGATAATATTTTCCTCCGGAATCTTCAGGAATGAATTAGTTTTAAGTCAGCAGGCCACCTTACTTCCATCTGTAACATGAAG